AATAAGTTATGATAGTTGTATGACCATTTTGTGGCAGTCGTTAAGTGAATGCCACGATCATTAACCCATTGTTTGCTGTGGAGTAGTTTTTGCCAGAAACTGAAAGTAAACTCTGGTTTCCAACAAAGCGGACATAAAATATGTGATTGCAGATGGCCATAACTATGGGTCGGTTGCTGAGCACACAAAATGCAGTCACATGGGCAGGATGAGATGGACCTTAATACCAGGTCATAAGTAGCTTTTTGTCCATTGCTAAGTGACTGTTTATAAGTCAAGGACTATCTGTAATCATTTCTGTCTTAGTTCATTCTCTTCCTTACAGACCCTTTCAGTTTTGATGGACATAACATCTGCAAATTCTAGAAACATTCAAGAACAAGATGCCAATCATCTTTAGGACTACAGCTTCTAATTAATTTCTTTTCTTGCAGATTCCATTTACTTCTTCTGTGGCTCATTCCAATTCGAGTACAGCGTTTCACACAAAGAAGTCATCCTCACTACGCCAGCAAATTCTGTATTAGGCTGTTAAACAACAAGGAATTTTATCACCTTGGAAGCAGGATTGATTGAAAATATTAAAGATGACATGGGGAACTTGACAAATGTTTACATTGATTATGTCTGTTCTGTATGGATCAGCCAATCCACTCAGTTGTTTTTTCTTCCCCTAACTGTGGAAGTCAGAAAAATGTTCTTTTATTTTTATCTTCAGTTGGAGAAATAGAACTGTTTTCAATATATATGTAAAATTGTTTGTAAATTCTAACAGAGAAAACAGATATTCTGAGAGTTTTTCTTAGCATCTCACTGAATCACAAATATGGATTAATCATATAGAACTTTTTAAATCAAAACTAGCCCTTTGAACTGCATCCAGAATTCTTATTGGCAATCTATAATGGCCTGTAAACAGACGTAAAGTATTTGTAGTGATGAATAATGAGCTATGATTACATGGATTTAAAGCAGGATTAAGTAATCCAAGAGAGAAAAATGTACAGTATTGTGGTTGATGCAGAGGTGCTATGCCACCAAGCATTTATTATTAAGTTTCTGTTAATGTTCTATTTTTCTTCCCTGCAAAAGAAACTTTTGTTTTTGTTTCTTATGTTAAATAGGCTTGAAAAATTATTTTGATTATCTCTTTGTGGGTTTAATTGAGCATCTTTTATTGTTTGAGATAAAGGAAAGTGCTCAACAAAAGCTTTCTTTTGTTGTCACTGCTCTATGCTATATGCAAGATGTCAGCCCCACTAGGTAGACCAGACCAAGAAATCAACTTCATAGGAAGGTTGAAACTACTTTTATAGATATTGGCCATAATAGCAGAATCTTTTAAGTCTGTTTGTGCTATACCTACCACCCATCATCTACCCCTTAAACTCTGGTGAATCAAGCATCTGTATCTAATGCTTCTAAATATTACCTCATTTCTCAGGATTTAAAATATGTTTCAGATCCCTTTGATTAGATAGCAGTTCTTCCATACTTCCATCAAAGTCATCTCTTTTCCTATTCTCTACACACACACCAAATGGGGTCCAGAACACTGTAATCAAAGCTCTGCCCATTTGTATCTGTGTCACACATGAAAAAGTCATGCAGGTGATGGACTTACAAAATAGGCAAAGCTTCTATCATGTTGCCACCTTGACTTTTCTGAGTATTGTTGGTGCTAAAATGTGATAAAGGAAGGAAGGGAGGGAGGGAGGGAGGGAGGAAGGAAGGGAGAGGAGGAAGGAAGGGAGGGAGGGAGGGAGGGAGGGAGAGGAGAAAGGAAGGAAGGAAGGAAGGAAGGAAGGAAGGAAGGAAGGAAGGAAGGAAGGAAGGAAGGAAGGAAGGAAGGAAGGAAGATTTTTGATGCTCCTTGCCAGCTTCCCACAAGGAAACTCAGTGGGAAAACTGATAGATAGTTGGAAGTCACCTTTGTTCCCAATGCTTTTTTGTCCACTTATAGTCATTTTGTTTTTCTGTTTAGATAAGGAAATACCTCTGAAACATTGAACCAACAGGGCATGGGTCGTCTAGTTTTTTTTATAAAAGTCTTCTAATGCTACCCCACCTCTGTGTACACAGGGAGGGGAAATGTAGATACTGGCTACTATGATTATACAAGTGATTTCCCTGTCTAACAGCCGCTCCTTTCTAGTGGTGAAACCGAAAAATTAATGCCATGAGTAATTCTTTCTACCCACCTCCTACTGTTTATGTTCTTTGGTGGAATTAATTGTAATGCTTCTATTATCCTAATAATTGATTGAACTTTAATCAGTGGGATTTCCTGTCAGACGATTATTGTTGTCTACAATCTAGGCTATTTTTGGAAGCATGGCAGGAAGCAAAACACATACTGAAAAGTCACTTAGTAGGTAATACTTGGGAGTAATTAGTTCATGATGCAATAGAAGAATTGTGATAGATATGCAACAAAGGTGAAAATTAAAGTTTCCTTTGAGTCATTTCGGCTCCTGGCACCTTCTTAGACATCTTGGTAACATTTTCTTGGCTACCGAATACAAGTGATTTGCTACTCTTTGTCTTGCAAGACATTTTTCAGCCTAGCCTAGAGCTATCAGATTTCTTGAACACCTTCTTTCAAAATACTAACCTGGCCTGACCCTTCAATGCAGGGGGTGTCAAACTGCCGGCCCACGGGCCGAACACATCATGTAGAAGCTGCGCCCACCCCGTTGCCGGCAATGGCAAAACCGGCCCGATACGTTGCGCGATGTCATGTGACGTCGCGAGTTTGACATGCCTGCTTCAGTGCATCCAATCAAGATGTCAGCCCTGCTTGGTAGACCAGTGGTACCTTGATACCTATCATAAATTGCTTCCAAGAGGCATGATGAGAACCAAAAACGATGAGTACCAAACACATTTTTCCCACAACGAATAGTGTAGTGAGCCACAAGGCAGCCAACATTGACAAGTTAATAATAATTATTCAAATTCAATCAGGATGCTGCCATAATAATAATAATAATAATAATAATAATAATGATGATGATGATGATGATGATGATGATGATGATGATGATGTTAGAAGGGACCTTGGAGGTCATCTAGTCCAACCCCTGCTCAGGCAGGAAACCCTATACCATTTCAGACAAATGGCTGTCCAGTCTCTTCTTAAAAACTTCCAGTGTTAGAGCATTCACCGCTTCTGGAGGCAGGTTGTTCCACTGGTTAATTGTTCTAACTGTCAGGAAGTTTCTCCTTAGTTCTAGGTTGCTTCTCTCCTTGATTAATTTCCATCCGTTGCTTCTTGTCCTGCCTTCAGGCACCTTGGAAAATAGCTTGACTCCCTCTTCTTTGTGGCAGCCCCTGAGATATTGGAACACTGCTATCATGTCTCCCCTCTTCCTTCTCTTCATTAAACTAGACATACCCAATTCCAGCAGCCTTTCCTTATATGCTTTGGCCTCCAGTCCCCTAATCATCTTTGTTGCTCTTCTCTCTACTCTTTCCAGAGTCTCAACATCTTTTTTACATTGTGGTGACCAAAACTGGATGCATTATTCCAAGTGTGGCCTTACCAAGGTGTTGTAAAGTAGTATTAACACTTCACGTGATCTTGATTCTGTCCCTCTGTTAATGCAGCCCAGCACTGTATTGGCTTTTTTGGCAGCTGCAGCACACTGCTGGCTCATATTTAAGTGATTGTTCTAGTTTGTATATTGAATACCAAACAACTGATGAGTACCAGAACAAAATGTTTGGGTCAAAATGTGTTGAGTGTCAAATTCAAAGCAGTTGAATACCAAGGTACCACTGTAACGGCTATAGTGTTAGAGTCTTCAAGTCTGAATGTGTTTCCCACTCCCTCACTTTATATTCGTGTGAATAGGGAGGAGCTTCTCTGAGACATTTAGGCAAGTTAGTCTCTTGTCCCGGGTTTAAGTCCTGCTTATATGATGCCTGCTGATAGCTGCTCTTTCTCCTGTCCTTCACAGTCTTCTCTATGCCCTATACACCAGACAAGGTCATCCATGGATTACCGCTTGTTGAAGCATGCAAGGAAACCATACTAATGAATAAGGCTGAACTATGTCACGTTTTTGTTTGCAAATAATAGTGTTATTATACTATTATTTGTAGAAATATCACCCAGATTTTAAATCCCATACTTTTTTATTTGGGAATGAATTCAACTGAACTAGCTGGGAATTATTTCTGAATAGATGGGCAGAGATTTGGAGTAAAAATTGTTGGATCTTTTCCCATATATCAAGATTGATCAACTTGACGATCAAGTGCCACATATTAAACCCAGTCTGATTGCTGTGATCCCAAGAGCTCCTTATGATTACAGCTACCTAAATTTGGGATGGGATGGGGTTTCTTGTTGATTTGATGCGAGAAACATAAACAAAACTAAATATTCAATATATTTGTTGTCTTCCCATTCTTCTGCTTGCCCTAAACTTGTCAGGCATAATTATTTTTCCTAGTCCATCATCTATTTGTACTGTATGTCCCAAATCAATGCATATCTGATTGCAGACCATTGCTTCAAGCATTGTTCCCTGCTTGAGTGGGGTGGGGGGGTTGGACTAGAAGACCTCTAAGGTCCCTTCCAACTCTGCTATTCTGTTATTCAGTACAATATGCACACTGCTTTTCAGGCCTTTGTCAGACAAAGGAATTGCTCTCCTCCCCCCTCCGCAAAGGTCAATAAAAGGTCAATAAAAGATCCATTGCATTATTGCAAAGTCATCAGAAATAGAAACCTCAGCTTTTTCCACAACACCTGGAAATATGCTGAGACCATGCTTATTTAAAGCCACAAGGCTGAAGCCATCCATGGGACAACAGAAGATTCCCCCAAGCCAAGCCAAGCCTTTTTGAGGGAAAAAAAGGGTGGGGGGGAAGACCAGAGTAAGAATGTTTACTCTCTAGCGCTCGGAAGTTGATATTTCTCAGTGAAACATGATGAATCATCAGAGTAGCTCTATAAAAGGCATGCCAGGTTATTTCGCCAAACCATCCGAGTTGCAACCTTTTGCATCCATCAATCGTGCAAGATGCATCCAAACTCTGCAGCCGCTTTTTTTTTGTTGCTGGGCATGTCCTGGTGTTTTAGGTTGCAGATTTCCGACGAGGATGATAGTGACGAGTTCACAAAACAGGAGCTGCAGTTTGCAGAGGTAATGTGATCGATTCATTAAACTACACATTCCTGCATCTGTTTTTCCTTCTCTGTGTTGCCTTCTTTGTCAATATATGCTCTATCAATATCAATATGGATGGGAACTAATCAAGGAAAGAAGCAACATAGAACTAAGGTGAAATTTCCTGACAATTAGAACAATTAATCAGTGAAATGACTTGCCTCCAACATGGGAGGTTTTTAAGAGATTGGACAACTATTTGTCTGAAATGGTATAGGGTTTCCTGCTATTTGTCTGAAATGGTATAGGGTTATTATTCTGTTAACATGTGAATGATAAGCTTCAATATGAAAGACCTGGACTTTTGTTTTGGTGAATCTGTATGGAATATTATCACTGCTATTTCTAATTCTGCTAGTGCTTTTCTTTTATGTTACTATTGCCATCAGTATTAAAGTACCCTATTGAAAAACTGTTTTTCCCACTTCTTTTTCTCTCCAGCGTTATTTAAAAACTCATTATAATCTCTGGTCAAGTCCCGCTGGCATCTTGAAGTCAGGCGATACATTTTCCACCAAACTTCGAGAAATGCAATCGTTTTTGGGGCTAGAAGTCACCGGAAAGCTGAATGAAGAAACCTATGAGTTAATGAAGCAGCCCCGATGTGGTGTTCCTGATGTGGGAGAGTACAACTTTTTCCCCCGAAAGCTAAAGTGGTCCCATAATAATTTAACATACAGGTGAGAAGCAGCTTGTTTCTAGCTCCAGATCCAACACAATTTGTGTTGATGGATTTCCCATCACCCATTACCTATGCCCCAAGGGAAAAAATAAATAAAAGACTGGACTAAAATTTTGGGGAGGTTTGATGGCTGTGTTGGGTGGGATAATGAGGCAGAGTGATAAGATGTTTTTAATAGAAATGACAATATTAAATGAAATACTAAATTTCATTTTTGATGTGTGCCGTTATCTTATCTTATTATTTTGAATATCTTCCATATCTTCAGGGGGATTGTCTACTTTTATTTATGATAATATCATACAAGGCTTATTTAGGATGAATTACATTAAGATTAATCTTCTGAAGCTGCTTTATGGTTGAACAGTGTTTAAACAGTTTTAAACATGTTAAAACAACTTCCAGTAAACCAGCCACAAGTCTCACAGACCCAAACAACCTAAATTATTTCCATTATGTATGAAATGTATCTTTTTACAGCCACTTCTAAAAATAAGGCAAATTTACTGTTACTCTGCCAAAAAGAAAAATATCCACACTTTTGGTGGCTAGAAAACCTACTTCATTAAATAAAAAAAACTGCTTCTGTTTGCAAAATCAAAAGCATAAGAAAGAATATCACATTATTGTCACCAAATGTTTTGCAAACTTTTTCTGAGTCTAAAAAAATCGCCATCATTTGTTTGGTTTTGGCAGGATTTTAAATTACACCCCGGATCTGAAAAAGTCTGAAGTGGAGAGAGCCTTCAGAAAAGCATTCAAAGTCTGGTCTGATGTGACACCACTCAACTTCACCAGAATTCGTACTGGCGTAGCAGATATCATGATTTCCTTTGGACGGAGAGGTAAATAAGTGAAGCAATGGCTACCACTATGTTTTTGTAATGAAACCACTGAGGATATGGTCACTACTAGTTTGATGGGTATTTGGTAATGCTGGAATCATAAGCAGAATGTCCAAAAACCTGGAGAGCAATGGTGGGAGAGGACTAGCAATACTATCTGTATTTGAGAATTTTTTGTATGCATTTGATTGATAACATGAAGTGGTGGACTTCATTTGTAGCTGTCCTAATCCAGTTTCAGGGCTTTTGTGTTCTTTACTTGCTTTTGTATGTTAACCGGATTGTCACTTGAGTTGATTGTCAACTAAACATACTAATGGTATTTATTACCATTCCATATGTTTGCAGAACATGGTGATTTCTATCCTTTCGATGGACCTTCTGGTCTCCTGGCTCATGCTTTCCCTCCTGGACCAGGTTCTGGAGGAGATGCTCATTTTGATGAGGATGAACTGTGGTCAACAGATTCCAAAGGTGACTAAAATGGGTTTTAAAAAGCATTTCCATTCCCTTCCTGTTATTTGGTTCTGAACAATATTTGATGTTTAACCAGTGACTTTTTTCATAAGCAGACTTTCCTTTTGGGGGAAATACATGAATATGATTCATCATTGTTCAGCTTTATAATTTCAAAGTCAATACTGGCAGAGCTGTTTGTTTTGATTAGTACTACCTTACCAGTACCAATTGCATCAATTAATTCACTTCCTATTTCCTATTCAGATCAGATAAATGTTCATAACTTTAGCTGTTAGTAGCAGTCATCTGGCCTTGAAAACTAAGCAAAGTCAATACTTGGATGGAGTTCAGAAAAGAATTCCAGAGCTGTTGGCAAAAGTTCCTGAAAGCCAGTTTTATTCTGCTGCCAGGAAAACTGTGGAGGGTTTTAAGAAGAGATTGTACAGCCACTTGTCTGGAATGGTATAGGGGTATAGGGTCTCCTGCTTGAACAGAGGGTTGGGCTAGAAGAACTCCAAGGTCCCTTCCAACTTTGTTGTTCACTTATTCTGTAAGAAAAACATTCCCCAGAAGTCATCAATTATCAATTCATCTCAAAAAATGATTACTTATAAATTATGCATTGGATTGCAGCCAGAATTAAATATTGTAGCTTAAAATAGGAACGGACCACATTTAGCTCCCTAGCCCAAATTGTATGGTGTCCTTGAGAATGTTTAGGTCATGCCATTGAAATTTTGTACTAGAGAACAGTAATTTTTTTTTCTCTTGCAATGGAAAAAAATCCAGGAAAATAGGTGACTTAATTTTGTTGGGGGACAAGGCAAAACAGGGGGACCTTGGCCCAGCCACTCTTTCTCAGTCCTAAGAAGAAGCCAATGGCAAAGCACTTTTGAAATCTTGCCAAGAAAACTGCAGGGACCTATTTAGGAAGTTGAATCAACACTGACTCAAAAGAAACACACACACACAAAAATAGATCTACAGGTAGTCCTCGACTTATGACCACAATTAACCCCAAAATTTATGTTGCTAAGTGAAACATTTGTTAAGTGAATTTTGTCCCATTTTATTACTTTTCTTGCCGCACCTGTTAAGTGAATCATTGCAGTTGTTAACTTAGCAACACGGTTGTTAAACGAATCTAGCTTCCCCATTGACTTTGTTGTCAGAAGGTCGCAAAAGGTGATCACATGACCCCAGGACACTGCAACCATCATGAATATGAGTCAGTTGTCAAACATCTGAATTTTGATTACGTGACCATGGAGATGCTGCAATGATCATAAGTGTGAAAAATGGTCATGTCACTTTTTTCTATGCTGTTGTAACTTCAAATGGTTGAAGACTACCTGAATTAACTTCTCCCAAAAATGGGAGGGGGAATAATCAGAACATATTTCTAGTGATATAACAGCAGCCATCTCCATGACCCCAAAAGTCCTTGGAGACTGAAAACCCTAGTAGAAAGGGAAAAAAATGCCTTCAGATGCAAACAGATAGCCTAACCCCCAACTTACCTATCTAGGTTGGTAAGTAATTTATACAATTTCAATTCATGGAAAGTGAAAATATTGGAGGAGCCTGTAAGACTAATTAAATAAACACTTAAATCAAGGGTGTAAAACTCAATTTCACTGAGGGCCACATCAGCATTGCAGTTGCCCTGCGGTGGCTGGGTGGGTGTGGCCAGAGTGGGTGCAGCCTACTGGGTAGGTGTGGATGGAGTGGGTGTGACCTACTGGGTGGGTGTGGCCAGTTCTACATCATTCGCGTCAAGGGTGACTATGGGGGCCTGGGCAGGAGTGGGACAGATCTGAGGGTCTCTGGCAGAAGGGGGTGGGACCGGGGCAAGTGCCAAGGCATGGTCTACCAGGGCAATTGCCAAGATGGCCACCACAAAATTGTACATTGGCTCCCGGCCGGCCTGGGCCAGGGCCAAGGCAGCGGGGGCCATTCCCTCACTGTTTCCAGGATGGCTTCACGGGCCACATGAAACCACTTCACGGGCTGCATCTGGCCCCCGGGCCTTGTGTTTGACATGTCTGACTTAAATGATGGCTATTATTATTGTAAGTGTTACCAAAAGAAACAAAAGAAAGAAACCAGGTTTTCAATCTGGCAAAATTAGGATGCAAGCTTGGTTGCTCTCTTTACACAAGCCCTACTGTTTCCTAGGATATAACTTGTTTCTGGTGGCTGCCCACGAATTTGGCCATGCTCTGGGACTTGAGCACTCCAGAGATCCAGGAGCTCTGATGTATCCAATCTACACATACACGGGGAACACAGGCTTGTTGTTGCCAGATGATGATGTACAAGGGATCCAGACTCTTTATGGTAAGCTTGTGTTTTAAGGTTTCTTCTGCTTATTGAAATGCTGTGCCAAAACCTGCCTTGCAATTTCTTAAGTTTTTTTTATTCTGCAAAAGAGGTGTCTGCTTTTTTTCCTTCTTATTCTCAGAATACATGAACATTTATTTGAATTTCTCTTTGAGTTTGAATTGACTACTTTCTTTGAAGCAATACCAAACTGCCGGTCTTGTGGTTTATTGTTACTGATCTTTCCATGACTCTGAAACTTTCCTAATGGTCCATATCCAATCTTTTAAAACAAAAAACAAAAAACAAAAAAAAACCTAATGGGAACATTTTCTGGTTAGAGATTTAATGAAAGTATAGGAAAATTGAAAACAGCGCAAAATTTCTATAAGTTGTTTTCCTCAATGTAAATGAGAAGAGAGGGGAAACTGCAAAAATGTCATGCATTCCGTAAATATTATTTATTTTTTAGAATGACATGCATAAGTAATTATGGACTAATATGATCACAATATGTAATCTGGATTTAATGAATAAAAAATGTATTGACCCAGGTGCAGGAGATCACGATCCCCATCCTGATCATCCAAAAACCCCTGAGAAATGCAGTGAAAACCTAACACTTGATGCTATCACAGAATTTCGAGGAGAAATGATGATCTTCAAAGACAGGTAAGTCATAAATGAAATATGGAGGATTTCTTTGCCATTTCTGACTTCATGAGATATTTTACTGATTAAGGGAGGCAATTATTAATTATAGGATTAAATTGCTCCAACAGTCTGCAGATCTTGAGATCTGTATGTATATTATCCAAATGTTAAAGATGAAAATATGTTTGCAACAATCCCTTCTCAAACCAATGATTAATCACTGCATGATGTTAAAGATCAATTCACTGCATTGTATGCTGACTAGTTGAAACTCAAATACTTTGGCCACCTAATGAGAAGGAAGGACTCACTGGAGAAGAGCCTAATGCTGGGAAAGATTGAGGGCAATAGAAGAATGTGACGACAGAGAATGAGGTGCTGGATGGAGTCACTGAAGCAGTAGGAGTGAGATTAAATGGACTCCAGAAGATGGTAGAGGACAGGAAGACCTGGAGGAACATTGTCCATGGGGTCGCGATGGGTTGGACACGACTTTGCAACTAACAACAACAAAATACTAATAGTTAGTCAAAAGCAAGCAAAACCAGCAAATATACATTGTATTATCTTCTGCAAAACAAATTTGTGCATTATGTAGATATCCTCATCTTCATCACCATCATTTTATTCAACACTTTTATGTACATGCAGTTTTAGGGATAGACAATCTGTAACTTTGGATTGTTTGACCATTATGGCCTGCATAGAATTATATTAGTAATCAAAGTACCTTGAGATTTATCAAATTGGAAGTCACCACAATGACTCCAGATGACCCTTTCCAAATGTACATCTTAAGTCTGAGACTTAATTAAATTGATCTATCAGTATCTCAAAAGGTTTGATGAAAGGATTGTTAAAAACTGTGCTCATTATTTTAGGACTATTCTCCGCTTGCATTTATTCATGACATAGTAGGAACCCGCAATATCCCTTTTGGCTCTGTCCCCATTCCATTGCATTTATTTCATCCCCATGATAGATACAAGCTTAAACTATCATTAACTGTCCTGGTGTTAATGTTTTCCCTCTGATTCCAAGAGTATCTTCCACATGGATAAATCTGCTAGGCCTTGAAGGAGTTTGGAGGGAAGATATTGTCAGTGACTGGAAACAGACAATAGATGGAGGAGAGGCATCACAGGTGTCTGTGTGTGCATGTGGGGGAGTATAATACATTTTCTTCTAATATTGTTTTCTGCCAACACAGGAATGTATGCATTCTCAATTTAATTTAAAATTTCAAACGTCAGTTCAACAAAGGGGAAAACCCTTAGTGACCCCCAAAATACATGGCTTTTGTTATCTCTAATTATCTCTATCTCTTTCTATCTCTGATTCCTAAAATAAGAAAACTGGTATAGTATATGGTGCTATTGAACATATGCATGATAATAAATGTGCTTTATAATTTGAATACTTATATTCAAGTTTTTTATTGCTTTTTTACATTGTCTGCTAGTGATGCTTCATGATGGTTATTATAAAAAGAACCACAATAAACATTAGCAATTACATTAAAAATAGTGTTTTTAAGCCCTTGTGAAATGCAAGCCCAGAGTTCAATTCCTTCAATTCAATCATGCAGTTTAATAGTTGTTGCATTTACCGGCAGGTATACAATATTGTCTCGACTCCAGAGAATCAAGTTCTAGAACCAGTCAGTATGTTTAATAAGATGTTGGCACTTTATAACAAAACTTTCCTCTTCCTATTAGGTTTTTTTGGCGCCTACATCCTCAGATGGTTGAAGCAGATTTGGTGCAGATTAGATCATTTTGGCCAGAAATTCCAACCAAAATTGATGCAGCATATGAACACTCTGACAAAGATCGTGTGCTGCTTTTTCGGGGTAAGTTGATGATGATTTTTTTTAAAAAAAGTTCAAACTATCACTTTCCATCAAAAGTGACATTCCAATTTCATAATAGTAATAAAAACTAAAAAGCAATTATGAATCTGCAGTTGCAAATATAATTCTATCATTCTAAAGTTACAATTAAAACAAAATTTAACGTCATTTAAATACAAATATCTGTTGAATAAAGTTCAGGTTCAGACTTCCTTGTCTTGGTCCTTGAATGGGGAGATGTAAAACTTCCAGTGGCCTCTTGGATGCCTTTGCAGAAATTATAGGACTGAAGTCTAAATTTGCCCTTTATAGTCTTCCCCCATAATTGTATGTCAATATCAGAATGAATACTAAGCAACTGAATGACATCATGGTTTTGCTACATTTATTAATGCAATTCCCCTGATAGAAATTGTATTAGAATGGGTAGTATTTCAATTAAAGTTAGGTCTTTCGAAACTCACTGCTTTCTCCAGGACAAACTCAAAGTTCTGCTTTTAGAAATCAATTCAAACTCCATCAGGATATTGCCCCTAATATACTGTATAAAGTAAGAACATCTGGCATTTTATATATATTTTTTTCACCAATATATCCTTCTGAAGTAATTCTTGCTTGGTCTCATTACACAGCAATGAAAACTTAAGTTAAAAAATTCCTCAGCTGTAAGAATATATAATGAATATGATGGAATGTGTTTTTTTACTTTCTTACAGGCAGAAAAGTTTGGGCTTTGAATGGTTATGACATAATAGAGGGCTACCCTAAAAAAATTTATGAATTGGGTTTGCCAAAATTCATAAAGACAATAGACGCAGCTGTCCATATCGGCGAGACTGGGAAAACTCTCTTTTTTACAGGAGAAAAGTATTGGAGGTAGGTTGAACATTCTTCTCACCATCTTTTGTTGAGAGACAAAGATAAATATGCCCTTGAAACAAATTTGATTCAGAGTGACGTCATGCTTATGTCCGTGTAGTTTTTCATGACAATATAGGAATGATTTGTCATTTCCTTTTTTTGTTGTTGTTGTTCGTCCTAGATTTCTTGGTGTTCTCACATTCAAGTAGATATCTGATTGGATACTATTTATCTATCAAACCTAGACAAATAGAGCCTGGTGCTACTATTTTCTGTGAGACTGTGGTCAGATTTTTTTTTTCATTCATTCTCACCTCTTCATTTGTTCTGGTTCATAAATTTCATGGTGTACTAAAACAGGGGTCCCCAACCCCCGGGCAGTGGTGGGATTCAAATATGTGAACAACCAATTCTCTGTACGGATGCCACTTCCGGATGTCCATTCTGGGCCTGGGCAACAAAAACTTAGCTACCGGTTCTGCTGGTGAGAGAACTGGCTGAATCCCACCACTGCTCCCGGGCCATGGCCCACTACTGGGCCACGGCCTGTTCAGAACTGGGCCAAGTGGTGGGCGAACACATGCATATGCAGCTCCATTTGTGCAAGTGGCAGGCAAGCGCACACAGCTTCATTGGTGTGAGCAGCGGGTGCGCACAGCCGCTGCTCACACAAATGGTGCTTCATGTATACACGAGCGCCACCACTCATATGGAACCATCCCCTTCCTCCTCCCCTCCCTCCTGCTGGTTCACCAAGCTGGAAAGTTTGGGGACCGCTGTACTAAAAGACTTTTAATTAATGGGACTTCAGTTACTTAGATTTATAATTGTCCTGAGAACAAATCCAGGGAAACAACAGGAATCACCTTCATGATTGATGTAGGCCAAGAAAACTTTATAATTAACAATTAAATTATTGTATCATGGTCACAGAGTCAGCCAGATGTTTATACTGGATTGGCATTTTTGTCCACCTATCAAGTCCTTCCCAAGAACTTGGGATAGGCAGATGATGTTTGATAGTGATAGGATGTAAGTTGTTCCAAGTAACACTGCCTTTTGCGATTAAGTGATGGTCATTTTGTCACTTCTAATGCTGTTCAAATGGTGGTACTATCCTTGCTTTCTTTTGCCATCATTGTTCTACTTCTATTTCAAGGTCTTTGTATTTTGGGGGGGGTATTCCTCCAGTTCTTTCTCTTCTAATCTGCTGTCTCTAGATACTGCAGGATTCACTATCCAGACTTCTTTGTCTTTCTTAACAACAGTCACTAAGCCTGGTGTGTTATGTGGCAGGCATTTGTCTGTTTGTATTGCTGGTGAGACCACAAAATAAACAAAGTCATAGAAAATTCTTCAGGTTATCTCTTCTGTATATGTTTATGTTTAGCTACAATTCATCATTTCCTTTTTTTTTCTGAATGGAGAAATAGTTGCAGGCATGGTTATACCGGAAAAACATTAAAGTAAATATCATGGAAATGTCTCATTAAGAAAATACATTCCCTGAATTTTAAGCCATCAGTGTAATTATGCTGATCTGTTGCTGTTTAAGCTTACTCTATCTTTTCTGTTGCAGAATATGAAACCAATAGAATTTATTGGGTAACACCCTCCACTTTATAAGATTAATAAAAATTGTATGTGTGTGTGTGTCTCCTGACATAGGAAATAAACTTTTTTTATAAATTCCAATATATACTTCCAGCAGTATGTAACTAATGAAATGTAGTGAGGAGAGGGGGTGCATTCCACAGAAGAGACCACATAGCTCGGTTTTTATGTGTGAGAGAAAGAGGATGAAAACAGACCTTCCCTAATAGTTTATAGAGTATATGGTAGATGTAGATAGTAAAGTCTGGCAAAATTCTGTCTATAGGTGTGAAATCAGCTTGGAAGAATTTCCATGTGTCGTTCTTGATTTTAGGCCTGACAGTATCTTTTGGGTGCCATTCAAGTGCTTTGTTTTTCTAGCACTTTATATTATTGATAAACGGTCAGTTTAATATGGATATTATGCTTTGGTGCTTCAAAGAAATGCTTGATAAAAAATTACAATACATAGAATGCTGTAAATAAACCATGGATAACAATAGTAATGGTTTTTCATTTGTTTTCCTCTTCAATGTAGTTATGATGAACAGAATCAGATCATGGACAAAGGCTACCCTAGATTTATACAAGATGACTTCCCAGGAATTGGTCGCCGAGTAGATGCAGTCTATCAGAAAAATGGTATGTGTGTTTGACTTTTGATGGGGATATTTGGAGGATTCCAGCATCCTTAAGTACAGTAACTACACTTTCTTCTAATCTATCATTGCCACCTAACCAAATCATTAGCCCTTTCCTCAAAATTTGATATCACCCTTTCCTTTTCCTTCCTGGTAATATTAAGCAGAGCTCCTTTTATTTGGAGATTTGTAATAGGCTGAAAAAGGAGCCAGGAAGAAAACAGTCAAAAGTTATTCCTGGACTGTTGTCTTCTGCCCTTGTTGAAAGCAAGAGAGAAGCAACATTTGATTACATTTTCTATAATTTCCTTTTTAAAAAATGGTGACAGTGTAATAAGCAACTATATCAACAAGAGAATGCACTAGTGATTATACAATATTAAAAAAGCTATCTAAACAAAACAGGAAAAGGGGATAAAAGACTGATATACAAATGAATAATCAAGGGATTTACAATTGTCAAGAACATTTTCATTTCCCAACATATCCTTAAATAATTATGAGAAACTGAATATATTACACCATTTAAAAAGACTAAAATTGCCACTAAATTCTAAAGAAGGCGTAAACATCAATAACCATGATTAAAACAAAAAGTGAGAGTTTTTTTGTAATTTCCAGAGCTATTCTATCAGTGCTGCCAAATTTAGTAATGCAGTTTCTTAATATAATGAGGCAGGAAATGCATAATTTGGGAAAGTGCTTTGGTCCTCTTTGAATTATTATCTCTCCCTCTGTAGTTCTCAGCCCATCCTTTCTCAACAAGAAATTTGTGTTTTTTCTATCACATAACTTCTGCAAAATGGAAATATGTGCAAATTGACTTAGCCAGGAAATAAACTGCCAAAGAAAGGACAAAATCATTCACAAGTGATATAGGAACAGTTTCACTCAGATCCACATTAGGGATGTGTTGGCCAGTTGCCACTTGTAGAGTGGGATTCTATATACCTGCAAAAGGGATTTGAGTCCTAATCCAAGTTCTACAAAGACACAGACTTCTTTGACCAGAAGCCTCTGGATACTATACTTGATCTTAGCCAAAAGGCTGAGAAGTCTCCAGATAGGACCAATACTGAACTTTGAAGTAGACGAATAACCTACTAGCAGAAGGAATAGAGGGCAGAATGTTAACCGATTTAATTTTCTGCTGCTCAAGTCAAGATCAAATGTTCAAAGGGTGCAAGGATCTAGAAAGAAAGTGATTGAAAGTTTCAGACAAATCAGCCATCAATAGACACATAGAGCTAAACCACATTTACACGCCATTCAAAAGAAGCAATAAAAATGTAGGAAGGAAAGAAAAATGCGGGAACACATCCCTTTCACAAGCAGCCTCAGAGGCAAACTATCAGGCAGAAAAGAAGACACTAATCAAGGAATCATCAATGAGAAAATCACATCCCTACCAAAACTGGCAGGGCATGATATATATCAGGGGTGTCAAACTGCCAGCCCACGGGCCTGTTTCATCATACCGGAGCCGCATCCACCCCATTGCCTGCAATGCAAAAAAAGTCGCGCTACGTCGTGACACGTCAGGTAACAGGGCGAGTTTGATACCCATGCTATATATTGACAGAGAGAGAACTCCACATTCCCTTGCATTGATGATGTAACCTAGTTGAAACAATCTGCTGCAAACAATCAAGCTCAGAGAGCACCAAGAATTCCACACGGTTCAACTGTAAACTATAAATACTCTTTGACTGAAAATTTCATCCTTCCCCTGATCTGGGCAGGAATATCCTGTGAACAGAATTCACTTCCTGGAGTATCCTGCTGATGGAACCAAACTCAGAATCTAATCCTTATGTTTTGGGGGGAAAATGCATTCAATACCAACAGCAGTATGATAGCAATATCAAGCAGTATTTTTTTAATTAATTTTCATCTTTTACAGGCTATTTATATTTCTTCAATGGACCACTGCAGTTTGAATTCAGCATCTGGGATGAAAGAATTGTTCGTATCTTGAGAACTAACTCAATCTTTTGGTGCTGAATATATTAAGCCAGGTTCTGAACTGTGGAATAATTTGCTACTCATGAAAAATAATACTGTGTGTGGATATTTTTTTTTAACCTAAAAGCTTGATTCTGTGAACAAGCTTAGATAACGCTGTCACTGATTTTATATTGTATATATGGGACATATAGCTACGTATCAGTCTGGAACTGAGTTAAATTGAAAGGGTTTAGCTTTTCGTAATGTATAAACATTTTGCATGGATTAACACTATTTAATAGTTGAATAAATAAAAACACCATCTTCCTGTAAAGGGCTGACCAGAGAAAAGAAAACCCCTGGAAACCCCTAGTTGGCAGTAGGCAGTTCAAATTGTTCAAAAATAAAATTAAAAATGGGGGAGGGGGGGACAAATATCTGAATTTCAGAATCTTGTGAAGTTGATTGTTTACATCAAGGATCATTTGGGTGATCTTGAAAAAACAAATCATGATAAAGTTTGGCAGCATCCTGAGAATTTAAATAGTTTTATTTTATTTTTTAAAAAATGGTTTTTAATTTAAATTGAGTTTCTAGTGGTGTTATGGAGGAGTATCTCAGGTGATGCTTGATGACCTGAAGGTAAATTAATAAATACAGGTAGTCCTTGATTTATGACCATAATTGAACCCAATATTCCTGTCACTAAGTGTGACAGTTGTTTAGTGAGTTGTGCCCCATTTAATGACCTTTCTTGCCATAGTTGTTAAGTGAATCACTGCAGTTGTTAAATTAGTAACACGGTTATTAAGTGGCAAAAGGTAATCACGTGACCCTGGGACACTGCCACCGTCATAAATACGAGTCAGTTGCCAAGCATCGGAATTTTCATCACGTGATCATGGGGATGTTGCAATGGTTGTAAGTGTGAACGTAGTCATAAGTCACTTTTTTCAGTGACATTGTAATTTTGAACTGTCACTAAATGAACTCTTGTAAATCGAGGACTACCTGTAACCTGGGAAAAGAATTAAACACTTTTCAGGATGGTGCCTCAAATCTTAAGGATGAAAGTAAGCAGGGGGAAGGGGGTGTTAGGAGCCTATGCAGTATATTTAACTATAAATTAAGACCTCTTTTTCCCCAAAGATCATAAAGAAATCTTAAAGGAGACCGTGGAAAATTCACTGTTGAAGATCATCTCCAAAGTCCTAGGTTCCTTAGAGGAATGCCAGTCTTTTTTTAAAAAAAATAAGAGCATTTTAGCAAAAAAATAAATAATGAAAAGCATATTTCCTCATTTTACAAGGAAAGAGACCTTTATTTTAGTTATTGTTTCATTCATTTTGTATTTAGTGTAACACTGTCTACAAACTCCTAGCATTTATGTGAAGTTATAATTGTTTCTTCCTTATGTGTATGTCTGTGTTTTTTAAAAAAATACAAATAAAGTACATAAATATATACAACACCTTAAAAATGTGCATTTTTTTCTTTCTCTCCAGCATTTGTGTTATTCATATTAAGACAAAACATGGGGACAATTTTGTAAACAGAAGACAAGGTTGCCTAAGTAAAATAACACGTAAAATAAACATGATGTCCAGTAAAATAAACATGATGTCCAAATGAGATCACCCAACTATATTCTTTTATGGTCATTTTAAGTGGGCATTATCTTGCATTGATAATCCATTACATGAAGTTTTGGAAGCAAAGGCAAAATGCAAGACATCTAGTAGCCTTTTAGCATTGTCCTACAAATTCCTTTCCTAACCAGATGAAACATTACAGGATGGCTTCAGTTATCTGTCTACATTTCTGTTCCTTAGATTAGATGTTTGTAGCATTCAGTGAACATGCAGAAGCCTAAAGGCAAACTAATAAAACACAATTGCTATAATCAGATATGCTGCCCCAATAAACTATAATGTGCCTTCATGGGATGACTTGGTTCATACAACATGTTAATACAATGGGTAGTTTCCCACAACACATTGAATCACAAATGACTGAACTGCATTTAAACCTAATCTAGCAAGTTTTGTAACAAATGCTATGCAGCATTATTGGATCAAGAAATCCTCGGAACTATGAAAGGTACAGTTATCTCACTTTGAAAAGCCGAATTATGAAAGTGGTGGAATAAATGTTGTATCCATGTTTTTTCATTAAATAGTGGTACTTTATACTTGTTAATTGTTTTCAGGAGGCACAATGAGTACTAAAAGTAATGAGTACCAAACAAACCACGTGACCCTTTGTTTTGTCTGGGAAGGACTTCCTATCTGTCCCTTTTCCTATGTCAATGACCTTCCCAGCAGGGCCAACTTCCTGTCCACCTTCTGTAGCTGTCTCACACTTCCTTTTGCAGTGACCTTCCTGGCATGACCAACTTCCTGTCCATTCTCCGCAGCTGTCCCCCTATTCCTATTGCAGCACATCAAATACCAAACAAACAATGAGTACTGGGACAACATTTTTGCATTGAAATGGGTTGAGTATGAAATTCGATGAGTTTTGAAGCAGTCAAGTACTGAGGTACCACTGTATATAAAATGAAACCATTTCATTTATTTTACAAAAACACATTTTTTACTTTAAAAAAAAATTGCATAAGCTAAACTGACAAATTATAACAATTAATCAATTGAATTATTATCTATTATGTTATCTATTATTTATTATTTTATTTATTATTTTATTATCTATATTATCTCATTATCTATTATTTTTTCTTATTTCTAGGTATATATCTATGGTGATTCTCAGTTATCATTTTTTCTAGGTTGGTTCTCTCCTTGATTAGTTTCCATCCATAGTTTCTTGTCCTGCCTTCAGGTGCTTTGGAGAATAGGTTGACCACCTTTTCTTTGTGGCAGCCCCTGAGATATTGGAACACTGCTATCATGTCACCCCTGGTCCTTTTCATTAAACTAGATATCCTACAACCATTCTTCATATGTTTTAGCTTCCAGTCCCTAATCGTCTTTGTCACTCTTCATTTTTCCTTGCTTAAAGACAGTAATTGGGACCAGACATCACTAAGTGATGCAGCCCTAAAGCGCGATCTGGTGATATGTAGATTTCCTGGCTATAATATAGAAAGGATGTTTATTTTAAAGAAGCTACTAAATTCTGAATTGCAAAGAGCTGGTAGCTGGTAAAATCCTCTGAACCCAACACTAGATGTCGCTTTTCTCTTGTCATTTAATTTGGATTGCAACAGAGAAACATTCTGTAAAAGACAAAACATGGGGAATCCCCAGCCACACTGGAGGTGGGATAATTTTTAGGAAAGAAGAAAAGAAAGAAAAAGAATAGAAATATTTCATTCCGTTTGTTCATTCATTCATTCATTCATGACTCAAAGTCCCACATAGCAAGCTACAAATGTAATTTACAATTTGGCATTAGTTTATTTATTTATTCAATTTCTATAGCTGCCCATCTCAAGCAACTGACTCTGGGTGGTGAGCAATCATAAAACAATTTTAAAAAATTACAACACAAGTAAAATATTTGATAAACTATCTGTACTTTCTTAAGGAGGTAACTTTTCAGGGAGTGGGGAAGTGTTAGCATCTCCCACCACAGACTTCTCTTTGCAAAACTAAACATTCCCAGTCTCTTCAACTTCTCTTGTTTTATTGTAAATTGCCCAGAAAGCTCTTACTATTGAGTGGTTTTAAATTTTTAATGAAAAATAAAGTTGACAAATATATAGCTAGCTCTTTTAACTTTGATCAGCATAGATTATTACAACTGTTAGCAAGACTATTGTTAGTTGTGAATGCATTTCTTTCACTTGATCTTGAATACTGGAAAGTCCCAGCAAAACTTTATCTCATGGATACGTGGTGAAAAAAAAATGACTCAGATTCCTTTTGAGCTTTGAGGATATTTTATTTGGTTTCAAGCACTGGAACAGTTTCACTGAAATCTCTCTCCGTCTATTTTCTCATGTTCAGAAATGAGACCAGATTTCAGTAGAAGAGAATATATGTAGCTCCGTGTTGAACTGTCCTTAGTTCAAGTCACACATGCTAACTCTAATTTTATTAAAAGATTATAATAACAGAATTGTCCGAGTCTGAATGCACTTCCCCTTCCCTTACTTTATCTTCATGTGAACCAAGGAGGTCTTATCTGAGACACTTTCTCAGGTTACAGTTCTGGCACAGACTCAGAATTCTTTTATCTGACTGTTTCTCTTGTTCCTCAAGGTTATTCTTTCTTCCTATTGCACATCCTATCAGACCTAGAGGGACCTTCATTTTTTGATCAGATAAATTTTTTTTAGATTGTATTTTAGATTAGACCACCTAAAGATTATAACTGGTTCAGAATGTGGTGAGAGATACAATTTTGAGTTGAAAGGGTTGAACTGTTGAAAGGATTGTAGTCTGGAGATAGATGATGTTGTGTCCCTCTCCCTCTATTGAGAGAGAGCTGTCAGTTTTGACATAGATGGCCACTTTGACCCCTCTTTCAAACTAGCAGTCCTCTCTGTCCAAAATGTGGACTTTGCTGTCTTCAAAAGAGTGGTCTTTGTCTTTTAAATGCAGATGGACTGCTGAATCTTGCCACACAGTCCTTTCAGCAGTTCCAAGAAGGCACCACACCAATTTGCACCACTTAGGTGACCTTGAGGACACAGATAAAACTCCAGATGGCCTCAACGACTCTCTAAAAGAATGCAAATGACCAACTGTCTGCAAGTAATATAAATCCTTCCATTCCCCACCATCCAGTCAGAGCTGAAAAAGCTTGTTGGATGAAAAGTGAAAAGTCTTCAAAGAAAAACAAGAAAGTCTAGTTGACTCTTGAAAAAGAAACTTTGAGAGTACTACTACATTCTTAACTACTTGAAATCTTTCGTTGGTCTTCAAGGTTGCTCTATATGGGGCTGTCCAAACTTGGACAGTAGAGCGTATTGTAGTAATCATCATTAAAAAAAGGTCTAGTTTCTGACTCTCTGATGCCTTCCATTTATAAAATTGCTTTTAATGTGGTGGTTGCACAAGCTCAAATTCTATCTTACAATAATATAAGGGCATATTAGGTTAAGACCTCAAACACACCATCTAAAATAAATTTATCTGATCCAAAAATAAAAGAAGACCAGTCTGGCATGCTGACTTCTGGTGATGACCACATTGTTTCCAAGGTTCTTTTGCAATCAAATTTTTTATAATCTACTCTAGATTTTTCCCATATAGTGATGTCAGATTGTCTGGCTATACTTCTCAGATTCTTCTTTTTTCTGATGTTGAAGATAACATTTCTTCTTTCTGTCATTGTGTCATCTGTCACGTTGCCTATTCTCAAGAATGTCTCAAAGATATTATGCAACAATTCGGCAAGTTCCTTTGATACTTTAAGATGTAACCATCTGTCCTTGAACACTTCAACTAAATAGCTGATCAGGTTTCTATCTATCCTAAATTTCCATCCTGCTCCTTCAGTTTCTTTCCACAATTGCCAAATCCTCTTGTTAGAAAAAACTGGACCAAATTAGGATTTTCATAGTTTTGTCCTTTTCTTGTCACATATCAGTATCTCTGGCCACTTGATATATTCATTTATTTCTTTTGAAGGTATCTAAAGGGGTCAAGGACAACTCACCACAGTAAACCTGCCACAGGACAACTCACCATGGCCAACTTGCCACAGCACAACTTGCTGGGGGACAAGCAAGTAATGCTGGAATAGAATTGTTAAAGAAAGGATGCAAAAGGAAGGCCAAAATGAAATGTGAATGATGAAAATTAAAATAATTGTTTAATTATTTTAAATAAATTGTTGAAAT